AAGATACTATAAAGATTACTTCCAGGAAGATACTATAAAGACCAGATTACTTCCAGGAAGATACTATAAAGATTATTTTCAGGAAGATACTATAAAGACCAGATTACTTCCAGGAAGATACTATAAAGATTATTTTCAGGTTACTGCAGTCATTGTGTAGTGTTCTGTTACCTTACTGCAGTCATTGTGTAGTATTTTGTTACCTTACTGCAGTCATCGTGTAGTGTTTTGTTACCTTACTGCAGTCATTGTGTAATGTTTTGTTACCTTATGGCAGTCATTGTTTAGTGTTTTTTACCTTATGGCAGTAATTGTGTAGTGTTCTGTTACCTTACTGCAGTCATTGTGTAGTGTTTTGTTACCTTATGGCAGTCACTGTGTAGTGTTTTGTTACCTTACTGCAATCATCGTGTAGTGTTTTGTTACCTTACTGCAGTCATTGTGTAGTGTTTTGTTACCTTACTGCAGTCATTGTGTAGTGTTTTGTTACCTTATGTCAGTCATTGTGTAGTGTTTTGTTATCTTATGGCAGTCATTGTGTAATGATGTGTTACCTTATGGCATTCATTGTGTAGTGTTTTGTTATCTTATGGCAGTTGTTGTGTGTTCCATTATCATTACTTGAAGCACCAGCTCCCATACATTAGCAGTCGTTGTGTAGTGTTTCGTTACATTACTTGAAGCACCAGCTCCCATACATTAGCAGTTGTTGTGTAGTGTTTCATTACATTACTTGAACCACCAGTACCCATACATTAGCAGCCGTTGTGCAGTGTTCTATTATCATTACTTGAAGCACCAGCTCCCATACATTAGCAGTCGTTGTGCAGTGTTTCATTAAATTACTTGAAGCAACAGCTCCCATACATTAGCAGTCGTTGTGCAATGTTTCAGTACCTTACTTGAAGCACCAATTCCCACACTTTTAAATGTTATAACAGTTTCTAATGATTAGTTAGTTGTATAATAAAGTTTCATAAGTGAAGTTTAACACGGTGACTGATACATTCTTTCATTTCCAACATTGCTCTGGATATATTGATATTCAGTGATATTATTTTCTTCCTTCCTTCCTTATATGGTCTGGTGGTTAGGGCACTCGACTCTCAATCTGCTAGTCATGGATTTGAATCCAATCACAAAACATGCTTGCCCTTTCAGTCATGGGTGTGATCTAATGTGACAGTGAATCCCTTTGTTCATCAAGTGATGTTGACTAGCTGCCTTCCCTCTAGTCTGTTACTTTTAAATGAGGGAACTCTAGTGCAGATAAGTAGCTTTGCATGAAATTCAACAAATAAACAAGCAATACTTTCTTATTAGACCAGGTAATAGAATATTCTTGTTGGTGTTAGAGATTTACTACATATTAATGAGAACTGATAATAAGTGTAGCCTATCAGACACTTTACAGTTGTATTTAAAGAATACCATGTTTGATTTGTACTTTGTATTAAAGCATGTTTTTTTTTGTAATTACTAAATATATAATTGAATCGAGTATATATATTGAAACTTATTAAATACTTTTTACACTCAAAATATATCTAGTATGCTATCAATACCACAATCAGATCTATTATATAATATGTGCCACAAAGTTGCTTGAAAAGTCATGTATAAAACACATTATGTAAACATTTTTGTTTTAACACAGAATAGCAGCAGTATTGTTTAGTAGTTCTGTGGTCTTTTCTACATATTATGCTGGACTTATTTGTAATATACAGTATATTAAGAACTGTGCTGGTCATTTACTGATCTGCCCCCCAGTGGCACGGCGGTATGTGTGCGGACTTACAACGCTAGAAACCGGGTTTCGATACCCGTGGTGGGCAGAGCACAGATAGCCCCTTTGTGTAGCTTTGTGCTTAATCTCAAAACAAACAAATTTACTGATCTAGTTTCAAAATTTTTCCAATTTTTGACTAATTATTTCTTGATTCATTGTTTTTACAGGCACATAGTATAAAACTTTTGCACGTGTCTTCTGAAAGTGATTATTTTACTGTTTAGTGATCTTATTTCTAATATTTGACTTATTATTTCTCATTTTATTGTTATACAGAGCATTGAGTATAAAACTGTTGTAATTATAATATCTTCCTGAAAATAATCTTTATAGTATCTTCCTGGAAGTAATATGGTCTATATAGTATCTTCCTGGAAGTAATCTGGTTTTTATAGTATCTTCCTGGAAGTAATCCGGTGCTTATAGTATCTTCCTGGAAGTAATCTGGTCTATATAGTATATTTATAGTATCTTCCTGGAAGTAATCTGGTCTATATAGTATATTTATAGTATCTTCCTGGAAGTAATCTGTTCTTATAGTATCTTGGTAACAAAACACTACACAATGACTGCAGTAAGGTAACAAAACACTACACAATGACTGCAGTAAGGTAACAAAACACTACACAATGACTGACATAAGGTAACAAAACACTACACAATGACTGCAGTAAGGTAACAAAATACTACACAATGACTGCAGTAAGGTAACAAAACTCTACACAATGACTGAAGTAAGGTAACAAAACACTACATAATGATTGCAGTAAGGTAACAAAACACTACACAATGACTGCAGTAAGGTAACAAAATACTACACAATGACTGCAGTAAGGTAACAAAACACTACACAATGACTGCAGTAAGGTAAC